CATCAGGGTAAGTCATGTGGCTTCTCCAGCTCAGGGACCTAGTTTAATTCCAGTGTCTTGTCAGCTGCAATGTCTCCCAGGGAGTGAGCAGAGAGAGACAGGTGTCTATCTCCCTCCTCCAAGGAGGAAATACTGGATTTCCCAGAATTCTCAGGAGAAGTCCATGCCCACACAGAGGCCTTGTTGGCTATGATCCATCCGATTGACAGACTATACTCCACTCTTAATCCTCTCCAGTCCCAAATTGACACCAGATTACATAACTACCGCATCCAGTACCACCAGAAGCTCTATGTCCTCATCATTGTTGGTTTTCATTCCCTAGCCGTTCCCCTGTCTCTGACATTGTTTGCCCTCTGCTCCTTTCCCCAGCCTCTGCCTCCCCCCAAATCTCTCCAACCTTTGGTCCTATTCTTTCTCCGCATATTTGCTTCCCATGCTTGTCATATAGGTAGACAAAACAACAATAATGGAGACAAAACAGAAAGCAAACTAAATATCAAAGAAAAAGAGGGGGGAAAGCAAACAAGCAAAATGATAAAAAAATACATAAAAAATAGGGAACACTTCACAAATTTGTGTGATCTCTTGCACAGAAGCATGCTAATCATCTCTGTGTCATTCCAATTTTAGTATATGTGCTGCCTAAGAGAGCACAAGTATCCATTTCTTTATGTGCCATGACTCTTATTCCTCTAGGATATATACACAATAGAGGGATGTCTGGACATATGAAGTTTCCCTTCTCAACTTTTCCAGGGAATGCCGTAGTGTTTTCCACAGTGGCTTCACCATTTACATTTCTACAAACACTGTGCCACTTCCAATCTCTCTGCACTTTTGCCGGCAGTTGTTGTTTCTGTTTGTTTCTTACTGAGGATATTAATGTTGAGGTGAGATGATATTTCATTGTTTTGATTTACATTTGCTTAATGGATAATGTTCACAGCATGTCTTCATATGCTTGTCGGCTGCCTATATGTCTTCTTTGGTTATATTTTTAAGTACTGATACATTTTGATGCGGGTGTTACTAAGAGTTTCAGTTGCAGCTTCTTCACTTTATCATATCTCTTACCCCAACCAACCTACCATCCTATTCGAACTTTGAGTTCACATACACTTTCAAGCCCTTCATCTCCAAAATTACTTCTCTAATTTCCAAACCTCCAGTTTGAAATCCCTGATCTTTTCTTGGATCCTCATCGTGAGCACTGAGTTAGGAAACAGCAGAACTGTTCAACCTCGGCAATGCTCCCCATTGGTGGCGCTCTTCCATTATGTAGTAGAACATAGTCATTAAATATAAATTTTACTTCTTAACTCTTTTCTGTCCCACAGCAAATAGATGATAGAGTATGAAGACAAGAAGGAGTATATCCATCAGTCTGTAAGTCTACCTTGAGGGGAGATGGTAAATAGTGCATCATATGTTTATCTCTAGCTGTGGAAAATGCAACTTTGATTCTGAACAATTGCATTTTCCTTTTCCACAATTTTATTTTGTAGTGTTCCCTCTTTTCTTTTTTAATTTTCCATGCCATGAGAGTCCCTTTGGTTCAGCTGGAAAAACAGCAGCCCCCAAACAGAAGTACTCTAAAACCCAACCCCTACTGGGCTTTTAATTTATTCAGTAACCTTGAACATGCCTCTCAATATCTCTATGCATAAATATCAGCATCTGTAAATGAGTGGAAAAGTATTGAACTGTAGGCATGTTCGCAAGGAAAAACTAGTAAAAGTGGTTAAGAATCACTTGGAAAATATAAAAAGGAAAATAGGACATCAGCCAAACTCTAGAACAGCTGAGAATGGACTTTATAGACTTTGCTGCTTATGTAGAGATTTAGGTTGGATGTTAGAACAGTTTCCTGAGAGTAGACTTTTTAATTAGGCTGCCTTGTTGGCTTGTAATATATTCCTGCTGTTCTTCATTTTGTTTTGTTAATATCAATCCCGTAACAAGTTTATGTGGAAGATGCAAAATAGAAACTACGCCATAGCTACAACTGATAGTGTAAGATATAGATAGTCATTGATCAGGCTTCATTAATGAGTGACTTCCATCTGCCCTTTAGACAACTATCAGACTCATGATGTTAGGCAAATTTTTGTAAAGTAATTAATGTATTATTGAGCCTTAATCTTTTCTAAGCTTAGAGTATTGGTACTTTCAGGAATATTTGTTTTGTCATATGTTAGTCAGCCCACACATTTTAAAATAGAGATTCATGGACTCTCGAGCAAGGAGAGGGTATACATTTCTGTATTTATTACTTTGAAAAGTTTTCTTCTTACCAGGAGGTCATTTATTTACACTAATCAGATGTAAATACTTAAGGATAACATCTAGGCTAGTGTGTTACCAAATAGCTGTGAACCATAACCTAGGCCATTTGATACATAAAATGATCTATTTCTCTAGTACATCTTTGAGGCTGATAAATTATTAAATATTTAAATTATATATGTACTCAAACATAAAAATTGTGCTGCAGAATTATTTTATTAAAATATTTGCCTTTACCAAATGTTTTCATCTTGTTTTAAGATGTTAATAAATTCAGATAGGTATGGGAAGTTAATTAATCCATCAGTTTATCAGAAGGAAAATCTTGTGATGCTTAGGAAGAAAAAACTATCCTAAAGGTTGTGAGATAATTTCTCTTTCAATACTCAGTAATATCTCAAGTTTCAGCTTCAAACTTATCCTCCTTGGACATTTCTCAATGAATTTAGACACATGATTCTCAGTAAATCAGTGAGTTTTCAGTCTTTTTTAATTGAAATGTAAACTTTTAAGCATAGAATTTTAATTATGGGTGTACTGTTACATTTTACTCTTTTGGTTGTTGAACCTACAATGAGAGAGAGAGTGTGTGTGTGTGTGTGTGTGTGTGTGTGTGTGTTTGTAGTTACAGGCATCTTTCAGTCTCTTAGTTATGATCACAAATCTATTCGGTATCAAACTGAACAGGTTCCCCTCCTCACCTTAAGCTTCTGCTTTTCTTTCTTATGTTACAAGAGTAATTGAATAACTCCTACATGGCATCCAAAATAACATATAATAATAATAAAATTTGCTCTTTCACAGAAATTCTTCTAAAAATACTACTAGGAAGTGAATAATTTTCAAAGAACAATATATAAACTTCTTTTAAAATGAAACGATTTTTAATGAAAGAGAATAAAAGTATAAACAGTGGAGGATGACACGATACTTCACTTCAAAAACAGGGAGCAGAATTTATAGTGCATCCCTTGCATAATATATTAGTTTAACTCCTGCTGTGATATATATTTTCATATATTTGATAAGAACATGGGGATACATTTAAGTCTGGGTCAAGTTAGTCTGACCTGTATCTGTACCAAGGGAGGCTCTTCGTATTTAGAGTGTACAAATGAGAAGCAGCGATGGATACATCATGTCAGCCCTCTGATTCTATTGGAGCCTTATCAACTTTGCCACAGACATTTGCTTTGCAAATCCACATATAGGACATTAAGATTTCTTGTGTGATAGCTACCACTAATCCACTGCCATCAGGCCATTTTTAAGTGACGGTGAACCTGTACAAGGTAATTTGGGTGCTCACTACACATGTCATTATGGACTCTCTTACAAGGAAATGACGAACTGAAAAAACAGTTCCTGAGATATATTCTATTGATTTCAGAGTAACAGCTTAATAAATATATCTCATTCAGATTTAACCTGCTAGAAAACTCTTTTATTTGTACCTGTTTTACACAAGTACATAAAAAGATTTTTCTAGTGTGCATTGTCTAATTTTTACAAAGTATTTTCAAGGTGTAAAGTGCTATGCAAGTGTTAAACCCAATAAAAGTTTTGTTTTTTCACAGAATTTAGCTTGACATGTGCAGCAGCCAGATTTGTGAGTGATTAGAGCAAGGATGATTCAAATCAACACCATTTTAAATTTAAATACAGTGAACAACAAAGAAGACCCAACTGTGGCTTGCATTTTGGCAGACTGCAAATATAGATGCAGCACAGCAGTGGTCTGTCAAGACAAGCAGTTTCAGGCTTTGAACACAAGCCACTCTCAAGTCTGCTTTTAAGTCCATTCTAAAGGTGAGTCAGAGCAGATATATACGGTCCTTACTTAGCATCAATTAGTCTAATATTTAATATTTGCCTTAGTGTATAGTATTTGCTACCTTTATATGTGTGTAAAACTCTCCCAAATACTGAAACGTCTTAAATATAATAATAATATGGTAAAAATAAAAATAACTACCCATGCTACTGCATTGGTATCTGTTTGTGTATGTCTGTGTGTATAGCTGTCTCCATCCATTGGTCTGGATGTGATTAGGACTCCTAGTGACCTAATAGGACAAAGTATAACATGTTCCATCGAGTTTCTAAGGCTGTAGTACTTTCTGAAAACAATCTTCTTTTCCCACGGAGCAGCAAGTGGGCATAAACCACTGAAATGTTAGTTCATGGTCAAGTGCTTCAAAAACTATACTGCCAGGACTATTTGTAAGTATGTTGCTTTTGTTAAGTGCCTTCAAGTCAGTTTTAACCCAGAGCAACTCAATGTACAACAGCCTGAAACTCTGCTTGGCTCTATCATATTCACAATTGTTATGTTTGAGCCTGTTGCAGCACTTACTCTGTCAATCCGTCTCAGCGAAGGTCTTCCTCCTCCTTGCTGATGCTCTGCTTTTCCGAGATTGACGTCATTCTCCATAGACTGTTCTCTCCTAAAAATGAATTCAAAATAGTTGAAAGTAATTTTTCTATTCTCACTTCTGAGGACCTTTCTAACTGCATTTCTACCAAGACAC